AGCAGTCATTTAGCTACTCCTAGCAGACATTTATCTGCTCCTAGCAGTCATTTAGCTGCTCCTAGCAGTCATTTAGCTGCTCCTAGCAGACATTTAGCTGCTCCTAGCAGACATTTAGCAGCTCCTAGCAGACATTTAGCAGCTCCTAGCAGTCATTTAGCTGCTCCTAGCAGTCATTTAGCTGCTCCTAGCAGATATTTAGCTGCTCCTAGCAGACATTTAGCTGCTCCTAGCAGTCATTTAGCTGCTCCTAGCAGACATTTAACTACTCCTAAATGGCATTTAGCTACTCCTAAATGGCATTTAGCTACTCATAAAAAGGCATTTAGCTACTCATAAAAAGGCATTTAGCTACTCATAAAAAGGCATTTAGCTACTCCTAGATAGCATTTAGCTGCTCCTAGCAGTCGTTTTGCTGCTCCTAGCAAGCTTTAAGCTAGAGTTCTGCTTCTTTACTAACTTTCATCCATCATTCAGCATTTAGTCTGTATTTTTAAGGTTGTGTTTCTGTTTGTGAAACTTACTGAAAGTTGACTTTATCTACTTGAAACCTGGTCTCAAAAATCCCTGAAGTTAACACTCGGCAGCGTAGCAGGTCCTGTAATCACACACACACACACACACACACACACACACAACCAGTTAGCAGGTAAAATAATAAATTCAACCATTTGAAGGTTTAAACTGGGAGTGAAACTGACCTGGTCTGTTGGTGTGTAGTCACTCTGTCTTACAGAGTCAATTCTGTCCAGGAAACTGAGAAAAACAAAAAAGATTTCAGTTTTAGAATAAAATCCATCCATTTCTGTAGTGAAAAAAATAAAAGTGACTTTTGAGGGAAAACATTTGTTTCCATACGGAGTAAATTTACAGCAGTTTCAAAACAAAAACTCTCACTGTCCTGTTGAACCAAGACAACAGATTCATTTGAACTCGGTCTGATCAGCCGCCATGCTTCCTGTAGAGGCCTGGAGAAGCCGGCGTTACGACGGCCGAGCGCCACAAGAGGGCAGACGAGCTCAGTCTGAGCTATTTTGGTCTGTCTCTAGCCAGAGTGATTGCATAAGGCAGTTATTGTGGAGGTTAGACGGCCTGCTGTCGCCGTCTCTTCACAACACAGAGCATGTGCGGTGGCAGCCGGGCCTCTCTGCAGCGCGGCGGGCGAGCTCAGGATGCAGCCACACCGTCCTCTGGACACCGTGGATCACACACTTACACTCAGGAAACAAAGGAGGCCTGATATGACAGCTACTGTACAGAAAACACAACTCACAGGTAACGGGTCGGTTCAGTCCGTTAAGTTTAGACTTAGATCTCGGTTGGTGTAACGGACTTATTAGAGAAGCAAAAAACAACAAAGCAGGCTTAAAAATTAACAAACTCCTTGACTTAAATTAAGGAGAAAGGTTCTTATAAAAACAACAATTACAAAATGTGATTTTTTTTTAATAAAAAGGTCCATAAACCTCATATCTTCATGTTAAATGTTCTAAATATCCTCAGAAAATGCAAAAATTCAACTCATCTGATTATTGTTGTTAAAACTGTTGGACATTTTCTTTTTGGTTTGTTTCCAGACTTATTATTTTTGAGTACTTTTACCAAATTCATAATAAAAATAACCAAAAAGCTCCTGGTTGTTGCCCTGATTTAACTTCCCTGAAGAACAACCTGGGTTTTTGTCGGTCTTTCCTTCTCTGCAGAAAACAGCTTTACTTTTGTAAGAATGACCCAGATGTGGACCAAACGGGGTCATCCTCGCGGCATCTTTGATTTTCTAACCAAAACGAGTCGTTTCAGGAAGTCATCAAGACAAGACGACACAGGAAACCCGACGAACAGGCAGATCTTTGTTCACGGTTTCTGGTTTTTTTTTTGTTTTTTTTTATTTGGGGGGGGGGTGCTGTCGCTTCGTTTTCACTTCGGGCCTAAAAGCGTCACAGGAACACGCCTCGACCAGGATTAAATAACCGAGAATAAACGCTGCTTTTTAAACCATTAGATAACGACGACGCTGCTCATGTGCTCCGACAACAACGTTTTCATCACAGACTATTTATGGCCACAGAAAAAAAAAAGAAAGAAAAAAGTTGTGAGTTTATTTCTTGAAAGAGATCTCAACTTTCTCACACTAGTTTCATGAGATCCACGGTTCCACCAGGTGTCAGAAAACTTCATTAAATTTTATCAAAAAAAAGAAACTTTTTGTTTAAATCTCCAGTTTTAGTTTCTATCATTTCTTCTTTAAAACATTTTTAGTAACTAATCTGAGGAAACCTTCAGTTTTAGTGTTTCACTGTGTTTAAAACAGAAACTGTGTTTAAAAATAATGCTTTTTTTATAATCTGAGTATAAACAACATTATTTACTTGGTAACCAGGCTTCTCTGGGGTCTAAATCAGTGAGTAAATTTCCCACAATTCCTTTCTGTCTTTGACTTACAACTCAACCTTTGGACTGTTGTTACTTTTTGGCCCGATTGCAAAACTGACCAGACTTTTCAAACCTCAAACCAAATATAAACTTAAACACAATCAACTGGGGAGTAAATTTAAAAATCGGACATGTAAAAGGGTCGATTCCAATCAGTCATTTAAACAAAAAAAGAAAAAGCTAACAATTTCAGGATATTTTCTTTTACACTTGAGCTTTTTCCTTTATTCCTCCCAACATTATGAATTCATGATGTGACTTCCTAACACCCAGGGTGGGAACCACTGCTCTGTCAGCATCTTATGAAGACAGATAAGTGTTTCTGCTGACTGTCGAGAGCAATTATGCTTATGGACATTTGGAGATGCTCGAAAAAATGACAGAAAATAGAAAGAGAAAAGCACAACTGGAGATAATAAGAACAACAACAAACAGCTGAATATCTTTTCTGTGACGAGTGTTTTCTAAACTATATTAATTTCTTGATTCAGCATTAAATGCAGAATAGAATTATGTCCTAAAATGAATCAGATTTTAGGTAAATGACAGACAGATGAAGGCTGTGTCCAAATTCAGGGGCTGCGTCCTTCGAAGGACCCGACCTACCTGGTCTACGTGGACCGGAAAAGAGTGGCTGTGAATCTGCCTTTTCATTCCCGCTCTCACCCCGGAGTAAGTTTTAAATACTATAAATGAACAAAATGAGCTTAGAGGCAGGTATTCAGTTTAAATTCATCTCTGCGAGAGTTTGTGTTTTTAAATCAGTGACCGTTCATTGATTTGTGGAGACGGGACTCTTGTAATCACCAGACAAACAAAAGAAGGTATTTCTTGAGAAATGTGACCGAAGTTTTCATTTCAGGGTTTTAGACTGAAATCATCTTTGAGAAATGATAAAAATTAGTATCAGTTTTGGTCAAACCCTGAAAATAACTGTTTTAAGAAGGACAGCCAATTCAAAAAACAGTGAAAGACAATTTTCTGTTGGCTAAAACCGACTTGAATCGACAGTTATTTCCTGAAAGTTTTGTTAAAGTTTGTCCAGTAAGAATAAATTTTGGTAACAAACTCGCGCAGACAAACAAAAACATAAATCATCCACCTTTGCCTTTTTGGCGGCGGATAATGATGTTGAAACGGAGCACAGACTCAGAGGATCACCGTTCTGAATCCAAATAATCAGAAATCCATTCGTCAGAACTAATAAATTCTGTTTAGTCTTTATTTGGATCAAGTCGACAACAAGTACTCAGAAAAATAAACTTTAGCTTCTGTCTCTGCACCGAAGCATTTCGAGTATTTTTAGTCTGTCTTTTTGCAGAAACATAAATAGGCTGTAATTACTGAGTGCTTTGTGACCGCCACGTGACACAAGGACTATTGGTAGAACACAGAATTTCCAAACATAGCCTCCATAAAAAGAGACAAGAAAAAGACGCGTTAGAAACGAAACCAGGGTGTTAATCTAAGAACCTACTTCCCAGGTGAAGCCTTATGGTTTGGGTGCAGATTTAGAGTCCGGTCGTTGTGGTAAGGAGCTACAAATAAATGACCCGGGGTTGAGTTCCCGGGATGTGCGGTTTGTGTCGGTTTCCCTGCGTCTCCTCCTGGAACTCTTCACTGCTGGCGTCTGAGATCTTGGTGTGATGTGGCGACTTTGTCAAACTTGTGGCTCGAGGGATGACAGGCCACCAGTTCCCCCCACTTTGTTTTATGTGTACAGCACACACACACGGCAAAGTACGCTTCAGTATTTGTGCTTTTTAGGTCGGAGTTCTTCGCACGGAAACAATGAATGAGCTGCAGTTTGTCGTTTCACTCGATAAAAACACCTTTAAAAGCTGCTTTTTCACAGATATATGCTTTGAGTTTCCAGGCAGGATGTAGAAGAAGTGACTAGCATCTTGTGCGTACAGCCCCACACACCATCATCCATCCCTCCTCTGACTCGGGTCGGTTCTGTATTTAGCTTAAAAACACTGTGCTGGTCCTGCGGGCCCGTCTATGTATAGGCTTTGTAGTGGACAGTGTCACTTGGCTTAGCTCGGTCTTTCTGTGTTCGCCTGATCTTTCTGTAAAACAGACAAAAGCACGACAACGCACACCAGAGCGTAGAGGGACAGTTGGTGCAGGGGGGGAGGGGGTCCTGGGTTTCTGTCTCTGTCCCCACCTGATGCTGCTCAAAGGAGCTGTCCTCTAAAAGCACCAGCACACATTTTTATGTTTTTTTTAACTAACAGAATAAAGCCACAAATAGAGCAAGTAAATCCAAACAGCATCGAATTAGCACACGTGCATAAAGCAGGACACTTAAAAGAAAAAAGAATAAAAGTTTAACGCAGGTTGTGAAAAGTCCCGCTCAGCCAATGGGAAACCTTCCCACCAACCGGCAGCACCCAGCCTCATGTGCTCATTTGATAATTGGGTTGACTTTTTTACAAACAGCAGACCATCTTTAATTAGCAGCACAGAGGATCAGATCAATAGTTTCCATATTTTGAGCCGCTTAGGCCGACATAATGGACTTCCACTTTAGTCTCCAACGGACGGGTGACTTTAAAACCCAGCAGCACCGGCCACAGCATCTGAACGTGGACGTGATTTTTAAAAAAAATGTTTTCCATCTTGTACTGTATTTTATAAAACAGATGACATTTATCACAACCTTTAAGACCTCAAAAAGTATAAACCTCAATTCTGACAAAACTGGGAAATTAGGTCAAAATTTAAATAAAAACAAAACGCTGTGATCGACACTGCATTAAAAACAGTTCTGATTCGGTTCTGGACATGACAGGCTGGGCACCTCCACAAATCATCGTCTGTAAACACAGTCTGCCGCAGACGCTGGTTAAAGCTCTATCATGCAAAGAGGAGACTGGATGTAATACACTGTAGTAGGGTTGGGGAATAAATTAATACATACCAAGAAAGACACATGATGGATATAAAACAGCATCATTATATACAGGAAATGTGTCGGATCGAATGTGGATCATTTCTCTGAACCCCGATCCAGAACCGCACGGCATTCTGGGTGATGTAGGCAGAAGGAAGTCTTTAGCTGCTCGACCTCTCATGACCCAGCTACGTAAGCTTGGTGGCATCAGCTAACTCCCTCAGTCTTTGGTAAACTTTTCTGATCAGCAGTGTTCAAAAGCCTGCCTCTCTCATGGTATGGGGCTGCATCAGTGACACATATTTTGAACACCACCATCAATGCACAAAAGTATATATGTGACCAATCACATCGAAATGAGGATTAAGTCGAATGTGGTCAAAATGACCTACAGGTAATCACATTATCAGATTCCTGCTTTAAA